TCTCTGCATAAGACACCATTTGTTATAGCTCAAAATGGTCTTGAAGCTCAACCATCTTCCTAATTTCAGGATTTAATCCATTAAGAAATCTTGCCATGGTTGCTTCCGAATCCTCTTGTATATTGGCCCTTATCATTGCTACCTCCATTTGTTTGTGGTACTCATCAACCGAATTAGAACCTTGAGTGAGTCGTTGGAGCCGATTGTACAAGTCCGTGGTATAATGGAAGGGTACAAATCGTTTCCTCATCACTTGCTTCATTTCAGCCCAAGTGTCAATTGGTGGTTCCCTATTTCTCCTCCTTATGGCACATACTTGCTCCCACCAAATGGATGCATAATCTTCAAATTCAATAGCCGCAAGTTTCACCTTTTTCTCTTCAGAGTAGTTGTGGACTTCAAACACTTGCTCAACTCGTCTAACCCAATCCAAGTAAGTTTCAGGATCATTTTTCCCATGAAAGGTAGGCATCTTGGTTTTGATGGAACCAAGATTGTCATCGGTTCTCCTAGGTCGGTCTCGACCTTCCCTCGCTCCTCTTTGGCTTTTCCTTGATCGAATCGAGGTGTTAGAATGATATCCCTCATCATCCGCATCATGATCAGCACTCTGAACACTCGAAGCCCTATTGTATGTATCTCCAGTACCTCGCATCTCAATGGCAGCCAGCTTGTCGGATATTTGTATCATCACAACTTCATGTCTCTCCGCTTGTTTTTGAAGAACTTGGAGCACCAGTTTGAGTGACATGTCAGTCTCAGACGGCTCAAGCATGTTCCCCTCTTGAGACATATTGTCCAACCTGCAAAACAAGTGTATCCTAGTCTACCTTGCAAGCACTCGTGTATCACTCAAGGAAACACACTCACTCTCAATTTTCCTTCTCGAAATTCTTAAAACAACTCAAACTCTCAAAATTCCAGAATTAATTACCCTATAAGCAAGTAACAAGACACAAAGCAGAAATTTGCAAATCTTAGAAAAACTCTACCCGAACCTAGAACCTCTTTTTTTTTTTTTGAGCGGCTGTTTTTGCTAAGTTTCTGGCCAGTATTTGGATGGTAAATGGTGTTTGTGGCGGTTTAGGTTTGGTTTTGGAAACTGATTTGGGGGTGTTTGGGGCTGGTTAGGTCGTTTGGGGTTGTTGGAATTCAATTAAGGTTGGAGACTCAAGAATTGGAAACCAATCAAGATTTGGAGACTCAAGTTTTGGGAAACCAATCAAGATTTGGAGACTATTCAAGAATTGGAAACCAATCAAGAATTGGAACTCAAGATTTGAGATACTTGATTTCCTTTGTGTGAGAGCCGATTCCTTCTCTTCTTTGTTTTTTTTTTTTGTTCTCTCTCTTTTTTTTTTTTTTGCTTCGGCTCTTCAAGGAACACAAATTCAGGTCACACCAACAAGTTCAAGAAAAACGGATGAAAGGTTATGCAAATTTCAAGAAGGCCCTGGTTCTTGATTTATTGTTCAAGAATTTTCAAAACAAGACTTGATGGTCCAAGAACTTCAAGAATTTGTTCAAAAAACTCAAGAACTTCCCCAAATTGAGTTGTGGTGTTTAGGGTTTGCAAAAACAACAACCAATACTCAAGAAATAGGCACAATAAAATTTCAGCAATACTCAAAAGAAAATTCCAGCAATACTCTAGCAACTTGGATACTAAAACAATATAAGGTACGTGACTCATTTTTTTTTTTTTTTTTGTCTTTAAACCCTAACAACCCAAATCCAAACAAAAGTATAACAGACTCAAGAACAAAAGTTGGACAGAAAACACAAAAAGACAACACCCAAACAGATTTTTTTTTATTCGGATGAATAGTAACGTGAACAGTACGCTACAGTACGATGAACAGTAATCGCTACAGTTTTTTTTTTTTTGACACAAGACACAAACTAACAAGATATGAACAACTTCAATTGAAAGAGAATTAACCTGATGCTCTGATTACCAACTGATAAGGCAATCCTAGGGAAAGACCCTCCTAGACCCTCCCAACTTTGTAATTATCAGAGTTGGACCTTTTCTCCCAATGAAAATTGAACTCGATTGTTCTCATGAACTCAAGATCTCTGACACACAAAGGCAATCAGCAACCTTAAGCAAATAAAGATGGATGAAGAGACACCACGATTAGGGAACAAACTAATCGATAAAGTCAGATTTGAATCCTAAGCAATGAACTCAAGAATTCAAGAGTAAGTTCGATTAAGAACTTGAAAGGAAAATTCCTCACGATTTCTGGTTGTAATATTCTGTCCAGACTGATACAAGAGGTGCCTTTTTTATAGGCTAAAACTAGGGCAAAATCCGGCCCACATAAACCTGAAAAAAATTCGGTCCGCATAAAGAGTTTAAAGAGCTAGCTCTTTAAGGCTTTCCGATAAGGTCCAATAAGTAATAAAATACTCAACGCCTAACAACTACTAAACTAGACAGTCTTAAAACAACTACCAACTAAACTAACAAGTATGAGATCATTCCTTCACTTCAAACGGACAAATGAACAAAGTAACGTCATGGTCCATCAAATCTTCAAACCTAACTTGCTCCTTGCTTGTATGGTAAAGATCAAGACTCGTAAAACTTCCTTCACCTTCTTGGTTCTTGATCTTGTCATCGGACCACCAATGTTGATCAAAGGGTCCTTGACCCAAGGTTGAAGTTGTTGCGCACCCGTATCCGCATCATATCGTCTTATAATTTCATGAAACTTATTAATTGAACTCATTTGTCCAAGTCAGGATCAAAAAATTTATTATTTAGTAAAGAATATTAATTTATTAAATATTAATTTATAAAGATTTTATTGTGTATCAATATTGAAGCATTTAAATTTCATTGCAGTATAGTTTCTTAATAATCTATTTGCATCAGTTGAACTATTGGGAAATTTTTATATATTTGATTGGGTATTGGCCAAAAATACTACTACCAGGCTATACCTTGGTCCTTGAACATGTACTTTTTCCTTTGCTTCCAGTGTATGATGTTTGATAGGTGTCAATTCTATGCAATAATAAATTTTTATTCACAAAAATATAAAGACGAATATAACGGTGAGTAAGGTTTTCTCCGTAGGGATTAAAGGTAATTTGCTCATTTCCAAGTGAGAATTAACTGGGGGGTTTTGAAAAATTAATATTAAAATAAATAATCGACATAAATAAATAAAAATAATCAAACGGAAGAAAATTAAAATTAAATCAATAATATGTGAGTTTAATCAAAGAAAAAACTCCGAAAGTGGTTCATACAACTGTTTATTGATATAATAATAATTTCATCTATTTGTTAACAAACATGTTATAATTACTAAACAAGCGACGATAATTAGTTTTACACCTGTTAACTACTTATCTAACTAAGAAATAACCCTAGGTACGCCCATAAAATTTAATTTCTTGATTGCATTAAAATATGAAAAAATCATGTTCTAATCAATAAACACACAAGCAGAATTCACTATCAAGGTTTATTTAAATTAGATCAGACATTTCCCTCGCATGAAACCAATCACGTTTGCATTAAATTTTGGAAAAATCCTGTTCTAATCAATAATATTCACTACCAGGGTTTATTTTAATTAGATCATACGTTTTCCTAATATAAAATCAATCACGTTATTTATCACCAATTTAAAATAATTAAATAATTACGAATTTAACTATCTTAATTGGTATTAGATTATTAGGTTGAATTAAAATATCAGACTTTGATATTCAAACAACAAAACAACCATAAGAAATTAAATCAGAAAATATACAAATACTAACAAATAAAAGAAGATAAAAATAATTTAATCTCACTATTATAATTGAACCAAATCCTTCGTTTATCCCTTGGCTAGAATAAAAAAGTTAGTTGTTCATTGTTGAGAAAATTCCCGACGCAAAAGTACGGAACATCTCAAAAGACACATCGTTAAGAAGGAAGAACAAAAGTCGTCTTTCTTTGCAAACAAAAGATACGATGCTCCAAATTGTTTTCCCTCGAAAGTACTACTAATAAAGCCAACCGTACTTTGTCTACGTATTTTATCTCCTAAATTGTAGCTATTAAAAATAAACTCCTAAGTGGAACAGGAAAGTACAAAAGATAACATCCTTTGTTTCTTAACTAAATACTCTACTAATAAAGATAGCTTTTAAAACTTCAGCTCAAACTAGGAAACCTCCGTGCCTTCAAAAGTTGCCGGCTTTTGAAGGTTGCTCGGAAAAATAGATTTATTTATCGAATTCTTGCTTTCGTCAAGAAAATGTTAGAAAAAAAAAACTAGGAAACCTCCGTGCATAGAAAAATCCCGAGTCTTTCGGATTTGACAGCAATTCCTGAACCAGTTCACATCAAACTGGTTCACAATCTCATGTAAAATTGCCTCTTTAACCACTTTTTAATCTACTTTTCTACAATTCACGCTATTAACTAAATATAACTAAAATCTATTAATTAATACAATATTTGATCAAAATTCAAGGGAAAAATATCCACAAAACTACTAACAAAATGCACCCTATCAACATCCAAAATGTTTTTTCAACTCTCTCAAAATGGAATCTATTCCAAACATATATGCCATGGTTCCTTACTTCGACAGGGTACAAATATCTAAATTTGATATTTTTAGATACTTTTTCAGACCTATTGCCGATACTAAGTAGCAGTCAAAAATTGGTATCCATTTTTCACGATATTATGCATGGATCGGGTATATCATGGCGAATTCTTCAGAAAAATTTGTGTCTTCCACAATGGAATCTGATAAGTGAGATTTCGAGTAAGTGTTACATAATCTTCTTCTGTCCGAAGAAAGGATTCATCGAAATAAAAATAATGAGTCACCATTGATATCGACACATCTGAGATCGCCAAATGTTCGGGAGTTCCTCTATTCAACCCTTTTCCTTCTTCTTCTGTTCCACTTAATCCCTCTTTCATAGCATAGCCACATATCTTTCCGGCTAAGGAATGGGAAATCTTTCTCCCGTTACAATTTTTTTTTTTCATTTTTTCCTTTATGGCCCCACGTTAAATCGGGCACAAAGGTACAAAATATCTCGTGTGCATATTTTTCCTAACGTGACTATCATATTTCAAACATACCCTCTTCGGGTGAACAAGGTTCCTGACCGTCTCTCTCTCTCCCCTCATTTAATATCCTCGATTTGAAAGTTGGGGGCTGTTCTCCTCCTGTTGTTTCTTCCCATCAAGAGCAAAATTCTTTCTCCCTACCAAAAACGAAACCAGAAGAACTACTAGGGAATTAAGAAAAACAAACAGCAGTAGAGAAAAAGGCAAGGAACGAATATGGATTAACTTATAAAAAGATAACTTATGAAATTTATTATTTTATTAGACAAATTTAAAGTTTACCATTTTATTTTACAAAACAATCTTACCAATTCAGTTGGAAATGTAGCAAAACAAACCGGCTGTTCCCAATCAACTGCCATTATTTTAATATAACACACCTCACGACTTAACAGAACGATCCTTGCCAAGTAGCATCATTAGTCGCAAAGTTTTAGTACTGACTCAGAGTATCACGCTTCTTCCTTGGGTCGAAGCTCAATTCCCTCGAGAATGAGGCCTTTTTTCCAATCGAGAATTTCTGCAATTTTTATCTCGACATCGCCAACACCTTCATCGTTAAAAAATTCTCCCAGCATAATCTCCTGCCATCCATCGTTTCTCTCACGTGGAACCCGGCCATCAATTTCATGCTCAGGCCGAGGCACCAGAACAAATCGTCGCTGCAGATCAGGCCCCCGCCATCTATATCCTGGATCATCTTCATCTGTAGGTGTTAGATAATGCACGTCTGTAGGTATTTTTAGGTAGACAGAGTCGCCTTCCATAGGCTCAGAGAGACCACTAGTGCCAGCAGTAGCAGCCAAGCTAACAGAAGCCTTGGCAACAGTTTCAAGTCCATAGGAATACTCTTTAGTTTTGAACACAAGGTAAGCCGCATAATTAGTCTTCGGTGACAGTGATCGAGCTGGCATTTTCACTCGTATATCAAGGATATCTACTCGCTGCAGCTCAGCCACCTCAGAAAACCTGAATATATCATTTCTTTTCCAGATTAATCAATTAGCAAAGAAACACAAAGAATAGAGCTTTCATCCAGATTGGCCAAGATTAGACTGAAATTTCAGGTAGGGTGTCTCAGCCTTTTATGCATACCTTGATCCAGATAACTCATACCACTTCCAGCACTCAGGATCTTCTTTCTTATGAATGGAGAGCTCCCACGCGCTCAGCATATAACATTTTTTCGAGCACTTAGTTAGCCAGAAGCGCTGTCCAACAGCAGACGCATCTTTTATGTTAATCAATAACATGCTTGAGATCAATATGGAAAGAGCATTTGACGGATTTTAATTTGTTTTTTTCGTAGAGACAAGGTTGTGAAAAATTATGATTATGCCTACTTCATAAGCATCCCGGTAATGTCAACATGAGAAATGTATCATCAACAAAAAGAGAAACATTTAGAAAGCAACGCTGAAAATCATGAGACAAATTAAAAGTTACAGGTTGGAAATGCTATGAACAAAGCGATTTGAATTGTCAGGCCAGCATTAAAGTAAGTTAATCTGACAAATAAATGTTCTTGAACTAGAATAGCGGAAAATAAAAAAAAAATAGCAGTCACGCTCTAGTCTCTGCTATTATAAGATTCACGTAGTATGCCAAGGATGTAAGATGCATCATGTATTTCTTCATCCCAAGTCCATCACTCAAAAACAATTCGACAAATTAACCATCTCGACTATTCAATATGTCCAGGCCAAAAAGCTCCACGAGCTCTCAAATTGAATCTTCAACAGTGTGGATTCAATTTGCAGCCCATTTATAGGCAAGGGGCTGAAATTTGGTACAATAACAAACAATAACATGTACCAGTAGGTCCAGGAACACTAACTTGTACAGAAAAATTTTTATATTTTCTTGAAAATATTTTATAATCATTTTTTTACTTTACATACGTCATACTGTTATGGTACATTTTTTTAACAAAAATTCTTAAAAATAGCAATCAAACGGACCTTTTCTAACCTCTCCTATTAAAACTTCTTGGAAAAACCTGCCAAGCCTACTCTCTGTGGAAATCTTGACAGAGATTCAGATTCAGCTAATTCATGGCATAATAACTAGTACCAACATTTTGGGTTAAAAGATTGTACAGTGTACAACGATTCAAGACCCCAGATCCTGATCCTTTCAGTGATCAACTGTGAATCAAGATCCCCCTTTTCATAAGTAACTTACTTATGTAACGTTTTTGGAGATTCTACAGTTTCATTACAACCTGTAAGACCAACTCCATGATTTTGTTAACATTGATTTGCCAATATTTCCATTAGAAGGGAAAAAGGGGAGGGAGAATCGGTGAGACAAAAGATAACTCTCTTTCCATATAGTGAATCCAAATTGCCCAGAAAAGAAAAGACGAAAACAAGAAAAAGGAAAAACAACAATTTTTAAAAATAATTTTTTTTTTGTATAAAAAAAATGAGGAGTTGAGAGATTACCCGGTTTCCCTTGTTGATCAGGATTCCCTTGTCGATCGGGTTTGAAAAGTGACAAAGCAAACGGTAGAGCTCTTTCTTCGTTTTAGAGCTCAACCAGGGAACTAAATTTGAGATGATCTCTTTGAGATCTGGAGGAAGAAATTTTCCCCAAACAGTATCAGACTTAGAAGCAGAGTTGAAGTCCTTAGAAATGAGTGATGCACCGCACGCATCTTGAAGAGATGTGTAAAAGAGGATGTGTGATATGCAACCTTCAGGCAAGGATTGGAAAGGGGAGAGCATCCCGTCATTAGTTTCACCCATTTTTTTTTCTTGTTTTCTTGATTTCAATGAATATTATTGGGCATTGTATATACAGTGGACGTTGACGATGATAGTACTGGATCCAGCCGTAGAATGCTACCGACAATTAAAAGTACTGGACCCCACTTATGTTGAAAAAAAAAATGTTACAAATACAAAAAAAAAAAAATCTTTAAATTGATTTCAGTTTAGAACTTCTTAATGCCATTTAGTTGCCCAATGGGTATACATGACAGTAATCCAATATGGCATAAACGTAATTCAATTACCAATTCATAGTAATATATTAAGTTCTGTAATGTCCGGTGCAACCCAATGAGTACAAATAATTTCACAATGATGCACAAAGATATATCAAATTTAAGCACAATAAAGAAAACTTAATTAAAGAGAAAAGATAAGAAATGCAAACCAAATATCAATCCAATAGCCTCTTCAATTGATGGCGATGCTAACCAAGATGTACAAGTGAAGGTTCACTCCTTCCTCACCCCAAACATTCTTTGGTTGAGCCAAGGAGTTTTACAACAATTCTAGTTAACCCTCAACAACCTACACTTGAAAGATCACTCACCCAATTAAGAACTATTTTATACAAATGAGGCAACCTTCACCAAGGTTTTACCACTCCAAGTGATAGGTTCACCTTCACCAAGGTTTTCACTTGAGCAACCTCACAACCCAACTTTCCCAACCCCTTATACAACCAACAAAGAATCTTTCTACTCAAAAATCTCACTTGTAACCTTGTATTTTGTGTTGGCAAAAGTCTCTTGTCTTCTTGTGCTTTGGGGTGTTTATAGAAGGTGAGAAATGGCTCCAAAAGGCTCTCCAACGGTCAAATATTAAATGCTGTCAAAACTAGCCGTTGGCCTGTCGGACGTCCGAGACCTCCTGTTAAACCACCTGTCGGACGTCCGAACCCTGCGTCCAAACCACCTGTCGGACGTCCGAACCCTGCGTCCGAACGTAGGCAGAGAGTCATCAAATCTTTGCGAAATTTCTCGGACGTCCGATGAGATCGATGTGCGTCCGAGGCGTGCGTCCGATCCTTCCGGACGTCCGATGCTTCCTCACGAGCGTCCGACAGAGTTTCCTTCTTGATGTTCTTCATCCTTTCGGACGTCCGATAGCGTCCGACATGAGTGCCCTGTTTTTGCTTCTTCTTTTATGCCACAAGAATCTGTTCTAACAAATTACTCACATAAAAACATTAGCCCAAATCTACATATTGGTTTGTTAATCATCAAAACCAAGGATTGATCGACCAAGGTCAACAATCTCCCCCTTTTTGATGATCACAAACAAAATGAAGATTTTTTTTATCAAATAAGTTCAAATAAAGCTCCCCCTTAGAAAGTGCCAACATACAAAGAAATTTCAATAAATCCTACTCCCCCTTTTGGCATCAATCAAAAACAAACTCCCCCTTTATTTTTCAAAACAAGACCATATTGAATATCAAAATTTTCAATTGTACTTACAACCATATAGCACTTCTTGGATCAAATCTTCATGATGTACCTAAATATGAGAAATTTCATTTGGTACCCTTTTTTTATAGGGTCCTTGGGAGTTAATACAACATGATCTAGCAATCCACATGGATTTCATACCTTTTCTCATATTTTTCTTTACATAACAATCATTTTGCATATGTCCAAATTTGCAACAAAAGTGACACATGATAGAAGTATTTTGCACATAGGTGGATTTAATGCAACTAATTTTCTTACTTCTTATCATAGCAAACTTATTTGTGCCTTGAAAAGATTTGCTTTCTTTTGTTTGAGAAAACTTTTGTTTTTCATTTTAGAGAAACTCGTTCAAGTCATTAATTCTTTTCTTTAACAAATTTTGTTCCTCCAACATTTTTTCATAAAACTTTGTTTTCTCTTCCAACTTCCTTTTCAAAACATTTTTTTTGATTTTTTAAATCATCATTTTCCATTCTCAAACATTTGTTTTCTTGAAAAAGTTTGGAGTTTTCTTCCAACAAATCATTTATTTTTGTTTTCAAATCTTTATTTTTAGCATAAGATTTTCTCAAACTTTTATGCATTTTAATCATAAGAATTTTCACATCATCATCTTCATTATCTTCATCACAAGAAGAGTAATAAGAACTTAGCTCATCTTCTCCAACGGCCATTAGTGCCATTTGGGCCAACTCTCCTTTTTCTCTTTTTGAATTGCATTCATCCCATGTAATTTTGCAATCTCCTCTTGAACATCTCTTGTTGAAGATCTTCTTGAAACTTTTGATTTGAGGAGTTATATCATTGTCCACTTCCATGATTTCATTACCCATGAAGGATGGGTTATCCCCCACTTGAGATGCTTTAAAAGCTATGCCTCTCTTATGCATTCTTGCATTTTCTTCCTCTTGCACTTTGAATTTCAGCTTTAATTCATAAGAGGTTAGGGTATCCACAAGAGATTCAATGGACATAGAATTTAAATCCTTTGCCTCTTCTATAGCATTTATTTTGTTTTCCCATTCTTTTGGCAAGGCATTCAAAATCTTTCTATTTTTCTCACCCAAAGAATATTCTTTTCCAAGCAATTTAAGATCTTGAATAATGTCACAAAATCTACTACACATCTTATCAACATTTTCAAGAGGCTGCATTTTGAAAAATTCATATTGAGAAACAAGCAAAGATTTCTTTTGTTCTTTAATATCTTGGTTACCTTCATGAAATACACACAATTTATCCCAAATATCTTTAGCCGATTTACAACCTTTAATCCTACTAGAATCATTTACATCTAATGCATTGTACAATATATGCATGGCCTTGGCATTCAAAGAAAGATATCTCTTGTCTTTTTCATTCAATTCTTGTCTAGTCTTTAATCTACTCAAATTAGTGGTAGAGTCAACTATTCTAGCTTCATAAGGACCATCTTCCACCACATACCATAATTCAATATAAACGGATTGTAAGAAAATTATCATTCTTTGTTTCCACATGCTAAAATGAGAACCATTAAACATAGGTGGTCTATCAATAGATTGCCCTTCTAAAAAGGAAACTTTTATGGTTGCCATGATCTTTACTCTAAGCGGTTAAACTTAATCTCAAGGAGACCAAGCTCTGATACCAATTGTAATGCCCGGTGCAACCCAATGAGTACAAACAATTTCACAATGATGCACAAAGATATATCAAATTTAAGTACAATAAAGAAAACTTAATTAAAGAGAAAAGATAAGAAATGCAAACCAAATATCAATCCAATAGCTTCTTCAATTGATGGCGATGCTAACCAAGATGTACAAGTGAAGGTTCACTCCTTCCTCACCCCAAACACTCTTTGGTTGAGCCAAGGAGTTTTACAACAATTCTAGTTAACCCTCAACAACCTACACTTGAAAGATCACTCACCCAATTAAGAACTATTTTATACAAATGAGGCAACCTTCACCAAGGTTTTACCACTCCAAGTGATAGGTTCACCTTCACCAAGGTTTTCACTTGAGCAACCTCACAACCCAACTTTCCCAACCCCTTATACAACCAACAAAGAATCTTTCTACTCAAAAATCTCACTTGTAAGCTTGTATTTTGTGTTGGCAAAAGTCCCTTGTCTTCTTGTGCTTTGGGGTGTTTATAGAAGGTGAGAAATGGCTCCAAAAGGCTCTCCAACGGTCAAATATTAAATGCTGTCAAAACTAGCCGTTGGCCTGTCGGTCAAATATTAAATGCTGTCAAAACTAGCCGTTGGCCTGTCGGACGTCCGAGACCTCCTGTCGGACGTCCGAACCCTGCGTCCAAATCACCTGTCGGACGTCCGAACCCTGCGCCCGAACGTAGGCAGAGAGTCATCAAATCTTTGCGAAATTTCTCGGACGTCCGATGCGATCGATGTGCGTCCGAGGCGTGCGTCCGATCCTTCCGGACGTCCGATGCTTCCTCACGAGCGTCCGACAGAGTTTCCTTCTTGATGTTCTTCATCCTTTCGGACGTCCGATAGCGTCCGACATGAGTGCCCTGTTTTTGCTTCTTCTTTTATGCCACAAGAATCTGTTCTAACAAATTACTCACATAAAAACATTAGCCCAAATCTACATATTGGTTTGTTAATCATCAAAACCAAGGATTGATCGACCAAGGTCAACAAGCTCAAACCTTGAATCGAGAACCACATTAGGGAGGTGTGAGTTTAAACTAAGTGTTTGGATTGGAGATTATTTGGAAACATATTTTTTTGGCAGAATATCATAATATTTTTTGTAATGTGATAAATGTAAATAAAAAGATGATTAAAAAAATAAAAATATAATTAAAAATTATGCTTATAATATAATCAAATAATTTTTTACAAATAGAAACATATCCATACACTTGAGACTTTCTCTCGTCTGGGATCCGCCTCAGAGAAGGCTGCTGGAATACTCGGATCCAGCTTGCACGGAATGATGATAGAAAAACGGGATAATTTCAGAAACCTCCTTGAGGCTTTCGATAATTTTATTGAACTCTCTTGAGATTTAAAAAATTACATATACCTCCTTTTTCATTTAAAATAACAATTTTACCCTTGAATATTTTCATGAAATTCTCTTATTTGGTATTCTTATATTTAGAATGAGTTTTAGAAGTAAAATTTTCAAGTTTATGAATAAATTAGGGTTTGGCAACCTGACCCCGTAAAAAGGGGTTTCGCCAAAAAAAAATGAAAGAGTTTTAAAATTTTTTTTCATTTTTTTCCTTCTTATTCCTATTTTTTAATTTTTCGCCGATAAAACTGTAGAATTATCACTATTGATTCTAGTTTCTATTGTAACCAAATGTCGAATTAATGATTTTTTTAACGAGTTAGTTTTATATGTAACCAAATGTTTTTATGTCAATTGGCAGGATATTTGATTTTGACTTTAGAAAGCTAGTTTTAGAATTTTGTGCCTTCGTATTTAGGTTTAAATTAACCTTTGGCATCCGGCCTATGTTATATCTAGGTACATCAACTGGACATTGAATTCGTAGCCAATCCTATAACAAAACGTTCCAAAGAAAAGAACCACTTTGGAGG